CTATGAAGATCTCTGCTTCATCCTCAGAGTATGATAATGATGCAGTGAATGGAGCTCTGTGTCTGTTGATGTTATCAAGAGGCACTCATTCAATCCCAGATTTACCCAATGAGATTTCTCGCATGATTGGACGTGGAAAAAAAGTTCATTCTTTTCCTTCTGAAGATGAAGATCAGCAGCAGTTCAAAAAGCGAAAAATCTCATCTTTCAGCAAAAAATGTGATCATGGCAAAAAATCCTACTGGTTGGGCATGAACACCATTAGTACCAGTAGTAGAAACAAGAACAGCTGAAGCAGAACTATTTCCTTCAGCCAAATGCGATCTCTTGTGACCACCTATGGCTTGTCCAGTAGAAAAAGTCTTGCCACAGATGTGGATTCTCTCGACCTCTTCCACACAGGTTAACATCGTCGAGCAAAGGCTCCGACATACAATCTAGGATATGTCTTACATCATTGGTGGATTCTCTTGACCTCTTCCACACAGGTTAACGTCATCGAGCAGTGCTCTGACATACAACCTCGGATAGGTCTTACATCCTTGGTGGATTCTCTCGACCTCTTCCACATAGATTAACGTCATCGAGCGAAGTCTCTGACATACAACCTCGGATAGGTCCTACATCCTTGGTGGATTCTCTCGACCTCTTCCATACATGTTAACGTCATCGAGCAAAGGCTCTGATATACAACCTCGAATAGGTCACACATCCTTGGTGGATTCTCTCGACCTCTTCCATACAAGTTAACGTCGTCGAGAAAAAGCTCTGACATACAACCTCGAATAGGTCTCACATCCTTAGTGGATTCTCTCGACCTCTTCCATACAGGTTAACATCGTCGAGCAAAGGCTCCGATATACAACCTCGGATAGGTCTCACATCCTTGGTGGATTCTCTCAACCTCTTCCACACAGGTTGACATCATCAGGAAAAGGCTATGACATACAACCTCAGATAGGTCTTACATCATTGGTGGATCCAATATCGGTTAACATCATCGAGCAAAGGCTTTGACAAACAACCTCGGATAGATTATACATCCTTGGTTAACGTCACCAGAATGCGGTCCATGGACTTCCATCGGACTTCTGCACAAAGTTAAATTTCTACCTGATGTTGAATTTCCTCCTGTTGCTGAACTTTTGCCTTGCAGGACTTTCAACGGACTAATACCCGACGTTATACTTCTACCCGACGTTGGACTTCTCCCTGTCGTCGGACTTCTGCTCATCAGCGGACTTCTACTCATCGTCGGACTTCTGTTCGTCGACGAACTTTCGTTGGTCTTCTACCCGACACAGTACTTCTACCCGACGTCAGACTTATCCTTGTCATCGAACTTCTGCTCGTCAGCGGACTTCTACTCATCGTCGGACTTCTGCTCGTCGACGAACTTTTGTCGGTCTTCTACGCGACACAGTACTTCTACCCTACGTCGGACTTCTCCCCGTCGTTGGACTTTTGCTCGTCAACGAACTTCTACTCGTCGTCGGACTTATGCTCGTCGATAAACTTTTGTCAGTATTCTACCCGATAGTACTTCTATGCGACGTCTGACTTCTGCCTGCCGTCGGACTACTAACCGTCGTCGGACTTCTGCCTATTGACTGACTTTCTTCGGTCTTCTACCTGGTGTTGGACTTCTGCGTGCCGTCGGACTACTAACTGTCATCGGACTTCTGCCCATCGATTAACTTTCGTCGGTCTTCTACCCGACACTGCACCTCTACCCGACTACAGACTTCTGCCTAACGTCGGACTACTAGCCGTCGTCGGACTTCTGCCCGTAGATGGACTTTCGTCGGTCTTCTACCCGACGCTGTACCCCTACTCGACTATGGACTTCTGCCTGTAGTCAGACTACTACCCGTCGTCAGACTTCTGCCCGTCGATGGACTTTCGTTGGGCTTCTACTCGACGTTGAAATTTTACCCGTCATCATACTTTTCCCCGACGTCAGAATTCTACTCGACGCCAAGTCTCCACCCTTCATCGGACTTCGGTTCACCGTCAGCCTCCTACCTGATGCCGGGTTTCTGCACTTCAACTGTCTTTTCAACCTCCCTCCTTACAACGGTCTCTTCGACCTCCATCTCCAAACAACTAACATCAGAACTCCGCAGGATATCTCGAAGAATAGAGGAAGAATTGAGGATCTCCGGACTTCCTTGCAAAGAGAGGGGCCTTGGAGGACCAAGGAAAAACCTCAATTGTAAGAATAGAGGGAGAAGGGAAAATTTTCGGATTTCCTTGTAAAGAGAGGGGCTTTGGAAGACCATGGGAAAGCCTCAATTGTAAGAATAGAGGAGAAGAGAATGTGGAGAATTTCAAATCCCCTATGGGGCTATTTATAGGCAGGAGAGAGAGGTTGAAGGAGTTGGAGAAGTTAAGGGAGTTTTGGGAAAAAAAATGCTCTCTTTATCTCTCTCTCTCAAAAAAAAAAATTATTATTAACGTGGGCGGTTTGGGCCAAACCGCCCATCCGGGCGGCTTTTTAAAAAAAACCATCTATGCAGTTTCCAAAAAAAAATACAAAAACAAAACAAAAAAAAAACAAAAAATGCAAACGGCAAATATATATAAATGCGTGGGTCCCGCGCATTAAAAATAAAAAAAATCAATTGCAACCGGTTTTCAAGTCAAATCATGTGCCCCTTGGGCACGCCTTTCGAGGCTGGATGGTGGAGGTCGAAAGGTTTGGATAATTCCTGAAGCAAGGAACATGTTCAATACATATTTCGGGTGATTATTCTGTCAGGTTATCGAATGCATCTGAAAGTTAATAACAAAACGCCACGTCACTAAAGTACTCAGTACCGTGCTCGGTACAGGCGCTCGGTACACGCTCGATACACTCGATATGCTCGGTATCTCTACCGGACGCAATAAAAATTCCTTTTCAAGGAGGGAGGGAGAGACGGAAATACTCAGCGGTTTTAAGGAGTTGATACTTCTGAATGGCTTCATTAGCAACACCTGTGAATCACTTATGGTGAGCATGAGATAAAAAATATTTGTGATTTGCATTTCTCTGAGAGAGATCAAATTGGGACAATTTTTACTTGTCAAGTATCTTATCAATAAAAAATAAAAAAAGGCTCTAAATGCCTCGTGCGCAAAAGGTGCGCCTTTTCGCCTACATTGGAACGCTTTTCGCCGGCAGCTATCAACCGGTCGAATCGTCCTCCTACTCATGTACGAGCTGGAATTTCGGCCCGGACAGTCCAAATCGGACGTTTTTGGGGCCCCATGACACATTTTTAAAATATTATGGACTCAATTTTGATACATTCGGAGCTCAACGGGGCATCTATGATCAAGCTTGAGCAAGATTTTAATTTTTGGAACACAATTTTTTGTTATTCGGTCAATGTAAAATGTCGACACATATATTTTCGGACTTCTGGAGCATCGACGTCCGAAAATAGGGGGGCAACTGATATGTCGTCAAAAAATTATCTTAAACGGGCGCGAATCTCAGTGCAAAATCAAGTTGGAAACCTCAAAAATTAATTCGGAGACCATCCAAACTCTGATTTCAGCAAACTTACAATCAAATTGAGCGACTCGGAAATACAAACCCAACGACACCAAATTCGACTCAATCCGAGCCCAAATGGGTCCAAATCAAGCGCCCGAAGCGTTGTTGGAAAGCTCATACCACAATTGGAGTTACCAAACGGTCTCCGATTTTAACGATCTTATACTCGAATCGAGCGGCTCGACGAGACGAATCCAACGAGCTCAAGATCGCCGAATTCCGACATCACTAAGGCCTTCAAATGTCCAACGAACGGTGTTCGATCGTAGGATTCAATATCGGTTGTCCATTCGACCACTCCCCATTTGCCCTTGATCTCTTGCCTATTTACGGGCCATGCCACTCCATAAAAAACTATAAATAGAGCTCTCATTCTTCATAAGAGGGGACCCAAGCAAGAAGAGAAGAGGAGAAGCTCCTCCTCGACCACCACCGGAACCTCGCCAGACCACTGCAGGAGCCTCCGTCGCCTACTATGGTCCTTCTGACCTCCATCAACAGACAACGGTCTTTCTGATCCCAGACTCCTTCCGACTACGGTCCTTCCGACCTCCGTCGCCTACTATGGTCCTTCTGACCTCCATCAACAGACAACGGTCTTTCTGATCCCGGTCTCCTGCCGACTACGGTCCTTCCGACCTCCGTCGCCTACTATGGTCCTTCTGACCTCCATCAACAGACAACGGTCTTTCTGATCCCAGACTCCTTCCGACTACGGTCCTTCCGACCTCCGTCGCCTACTATGGTCCTTCTGACCTCCATCAACTGACAACGGTCTTTCTGACCCAGGTCTCCTGCCGACTACGGTCTTTCCAAACTACGTCGCCTACTATGGTCCTTCTGACCTCCATCAACTGATAACGGTCTTTCTGACCCAGGCCTCCTGCCAACTACGGTCCTTCCGACCTCCGTTGCCTACTATGATCCTTCCGACCTCCATCAACAGACAACGATCTTTCTGACCCCTGTCTCCTGCCGATTACTGTCCTTCTGACCTCCGTCGCTTACTATGATCATTCCGACTTTCATCATCAGACAACGGTCTTTCTGACTCCGGTCTCCTGCCGAATACAATCTTTCCGATCAACCAAACATGTATATGTAACTCCCACCATGTAATGCAATCTATATGATGTATATTTGCTACATAAATCCAAGACATTCTCCCAAGGAAGCACCTCATTTGTAATCGACCGCAAATATTAGTGGATTCATTCAAACTGGGCCAGGCTCCGTAGTTTTTCCCCATTTTTAGGGATTTTCCACGTAAAAATTCTGATGTCTCTTATGAATGTTACAGCCTCTCACTCTTCTGATTGTGTGCTGAATTTCTGTACAATGCTAAGACATTAAACTATGTATTTCTCTACCGCCGTGAATACTCCAGGACGCTGTTGTCATCTTAGGAGTGGTCATATCTTAAGTTTCCTCAAGCAGAAAATTTTGGCAGAATAAATTTTCTGAACGCGACCACTCCCCAACCCCACTCAGCATTACATCCGATGGATTACGGTCAAATGTGGTCGCAGCCTCAAAAGACGCCGCCGGTGTATGACCCACTAACCGCCGGCAACAACATCCGTCCATTAGCTCCGCCGTCTTCCCAATGGGATTACGCCGGCGCTCTCGACCACCACCAACAACCGATCTCCTACTCCCCCAATCCCACATCTAATTACTATGACTATATGTACAGCTCGATCCAATCGCCCGTCAAAGTAGAGGAACTCACGCCCCATAGCGCTGGCTACGCCGACCAACTCGCTGCCGCTGCGTGGTACCCGCTCGACGGTGCAGCAACGTCCGCCGACCCGTCATACCCTTATACCGGCGAGGGATTCTCCACTGCGGAAGTGGGGGGTGCAATCGATGGGGTTTACTATGGTGGAGGAGAAGATCCAAAGGCGATTGCTGCGAAGGACGCGATTCGGCAGTACGGAATGCATCCTTTCGGCTACGCTTCGGTGAGCCCGTAGTTTATTTTGTAAATTTTAAGCGTGTTCTTAGACTTTTGATGGCCGAGATAAGAAGAGTATTTTTCGTCTTGCCAAGAACTCATTTTCACGTAGGAGTGTCCCTTCTAGTGGTGGCATAACCATTGCTGGACAAACAAATGCAGCAGCTAATGTGAACTGATGGATAATATATTCTACTATTTATGTTATTTCGGTTTATTGTAGAAACGTTGATTGTTTTTGTAAGATCTATGAAGTGGAGCACATAACTAGGTTAAGATTGCTTATATCAAAATGAGTAACTTTCTTAAGATTTGCTAGGCCAAACTGGATAATATTTCGATAGTTTAAAGTTTTGTTGGTACAAATTATATCATAACAATATCCTAGATTAAAGATGGGAACTAAGTGTTATGGAAGTCAAAGTGCTACATCGTGGCATCCACCTCTAGAACCATTTGAGTCAAAGTGCTACATAGTAGGAGCCACATCTTAAATATGTCGGAATCACCTTGAAATCATATGCAGTGAATGATACTTGGCTTTACAATACTTGGCTATCTGTAAAGCCATCTACGAGGATCATGGTTCCTAAGGGATATAATAATATCTATTATATACAATGAAACTAAATTCTTAAATATTGAGGCACATTTTGCTATAATAGCTTGAATTTTGTCAAGAATTTTAAGATTAAGTTTGTTCATATTAAAGTATTCTTTGTTAATATTATTTAAAAAAAAAGTACTTGGATGGTTATCTCCTTGGGATGTTATATTAAGAGGATGCCTATCAGGCCAAAGTAGACAATATATTAATGTTATAAATTCCAAGTTGTTACAATATATCCCACCCTCTTATTCAAACTTTGCCTATCAAGCAAATAAGATGATTAAGATGAGCATCAAGAGTAAGTATTTGATTACTTCAGTTCTTTCAGTAGTTTGTGGAAAAGTCAATCTTAACTAGAGTGCCCCTTCTATCATTGTTGTAACATTTGTCTATGGAACAGATGTGTTTGTGGGTCTCCGAAAGGACTCTGCTCGTGTGGTTCGAATGCAAAGGGTACGATCACCCTATTCCATAGGACAAAGTGGTCGTAGATCTTTACAATTGACACAAGCAGGCCGATGGAAGAGCAGATGGAGTTATACATACGATTAGCCATGGAGGATAGCGGCTTTCAGATAATAATATGCATAATCCTAAATTCACGAGATTTCCCCCATTCGATACATCAGCTCGAATGGAGTTTATTTGATTGTGGGGATCGGTTTCCTACGGGCGCAAGCTCCTGTATTTAATTACATCTTAGACCTCGGTCTAAGAAAAATCTCGATTAAGGACGTTAGATTATCTTCTTTAATGGATTTAGTGCAAAGGGAAAATTCTAGGCTTTCCTAATCAAAGGGGAAGGTCCCAAATTGGCTCAATCAGATCACACGTAGTTCAGTCAACATTCGGCCGGTCTGAAGAAGAGAAAGCTGGAGAAAAGAAAGAGGTCACGCATCTCAAGCATGCATGAGAGAAAGAGGGAGGTGGCGTCATCTGTGTGACGCAGATGGGTAGGATTTATAGCCTCCGAAAGAATGGAGAACTTACCCACCAATAAGGTGTATAGGGGTACACTCATACCACTCACCTTTAAACCCTAAATCTATAAATGATGTAGTGTTGCA